CCCAAACCATTCTATGATTCTATGTACAGACAGTCACTGGTAAAAGGATACCAGCTAGCATTGTGTTGTAGACATTTTAGTAATTTGAGTGTTCTTGTTGGGATGGTGTTCTCCTTTAAGGCAGGGTGTCTTATTTTAATCAGAAGATATAATCATATGTTCAGATACTTCATAGATGTTAAGTGGTGCTTATAAAAAAAAACGAAGCAGTTCTGTTACAGACATTTTTCTGTGGAATCTGTTAAAAATCATGAACAAGAGAAGAAATTGCCCATGAAATGCATAGGAAAGGAAGAGATTTGTCATTGTATTTTCAACACTTTTACTTCCCCTTCATGAACTCTCAGTGACCATTAGGATATCATAAGATCCTGTTTTCTGGTATTTGAGAATAACTTTCTTTATGACGTGTACTGTTGTACTGAAGTTCTTTGTGTTATGACCATAGATGCCAAACCAGTGAATCCTGTGCAGAATTTCTTTGTAAGAGTGAATTAGAGGAAAAAAAGGTGCCAGTTATTGATATACTACCTGCAGAAAAAGCATTAAAAGTTTGTATGTCATTATTTTAAAGACAGTCATCACAGTTTGCTGAATAGAGCTTAAACTATCTACGTTTCAGAGTCCTTTAATTCTGCAGACTTTTCAGTTTGGCTCAGTGTATTGTCAAGGTTTCAGCTGGAATTGAATAGTTCTGTGAGAATACAAGTTTACCATGGTGTCTGAACTTGTAAAATGTTATGGTGCATTTTTGTATGTAGATTTTAGTTGTGATTTTTATGTCTTTTACTTGCTTTACAGATGAAGGTGCATGGAAAAAATCTTGTCAGTGTTTGCAAGCTTGCATTTAAAATTTGCAGGAATGAGAAAAATGATTACCTCATTCAAAATGATAGATTGTTGGGTATGTATTCTGTTCTTGTATATAAGTTAGATGTTGAAATTCAGTAGTTAGATTGATCATCTTTCAAGAAACATTCTCAGTTATCTTAGTCACACACTAAAAATTGCTTATTAGGTCAAACTAATGGCCCATCTAATCCAGTATTCTGTGGCTGATGATGTCGATAGGGGATGCTGTTTAGGGACAGCAAGGAAGTCTATGTGTGTTCTGTGATCTGTTTACCCTGTATTACCCCAGCATCCAGAGTTGTTAAGTTCTATTAGGGACAGTAGATGCCTGCCTAATTCTTTTTAGTTTCTGTTCATTAATTTGCCTAATTCCTTTTTGAACTTTGTATTTCTATCTGCCTCTACAGTCTCATAGAGCAACAAGTTTCAGAAGTTCTCTGTCTGCTGTTTTAAACCTATCTACTTTTCATCATGCCCCAGCTTGTAGTTTTGCAGGATTTGTACAGTCAGTTTACCCTCCACCTTCATGAATTTTTTTAAACCAGTCATATCGCATATCACTGCGTTCTCTTCAGACTGAGGCATCTCAGACTTTTAGCTTGCTATTCTCTTTGGAAGGATATTGTGTCATTGTCTCAGTTGTTCTAGTAGCCCTTCTCTATACCTTCTCCAACTCCAGTAGATCCTTCTTCAGATGTACAGAAGAAAACTGTCTGTAGAAGTCAAGATGTGACTGCAGCAAATTTTATAAAAGTGAGGTAAGGCTGTGTTGATGGCCATTGTCAGGAAGGATATTGAGAACAATCACTGACTTTTTTAGCTGCTGGTGCATGTTGAGCCAATGGTTTTGGAGGATTGTCAGCAGCGGCTCTGAGATCTCTTTCATGATTGTACCTGTATTTGTGTCATCCACACACACCTTGCAAATATGAGCAGTATGAAGAAAATGATAGTGTATGAATGATGCTCAGTATCGATTGATGATCATTCCTGTCATTAAAACCTCATTACCTTTTATTAACGTAGGCCTTTACCTTGCAAGCATTTACTGCATCTGTGTAAGTTAAAGCATATGTGTATATCTGCTTAAATAGATGAGAGTATTCATGGTCTTAAAGTTTAGTACATGAGTGTTGTCAGAAATAAAGACCAGATAAGCCTTTCCAGTGCTAAGATCAACAGCAAAGGACGCAGAGAAAAGAGAACAGCTCAGATTGCTCATCTGACTCTGGGTACTGAAAACTGCAGTTTTGTAGAGATTAGCATGATACAAAAATCTGGAAAAGTTGAGTGGCTATGCCTGTGTAAACATTGGGGGTTTTTTCCTCTCATTTCCATCTTCACTCACTTTTCTTTCACTTGCTCATCTTTCCCTGTATATTAAAAACTAGTGAAGAAAAGAATGTTTTTGTTAGGGTTTTGTTTTTTATTCACTCTTTATGTTTGGACCTACCTTAGCCAGGCCAAAGATATGAACCTGGGTTGTCATCATAATCATGCAGATCCCTGTTGCAGTCACTGGGTTATAGATTCAATTTCTTTTTCTTCCTCCTGGCCTGTGAACTGTTTATGTGCAATGGAGCAGCTCCAGTAGAAGAAATAAATTAACGGCTCATCCCAAAATGGGCAGCTGCTGTTCAAGACCCTGTTTGATAGTGAGCAGAGCAGGGACCTGAAACTGATTTCTCACATTGGCACAACCCTAGGCAGCTGGGGAAGGTGAGAGTTTGGGCAAGAGCCTGGAGTGTGTGTACTTCATCCATATACACCCATATACTTGGAGAGAGTTTCAACTTGAGACAGAAAAAACTTTAGAAATCTCTTCAGTTTAATGAGATGGAAAAATGTTTTTATTCAGCTGGGTAGAACACAGGAAGCAGAAGTAAGTATGAGTTTCAATCAGTTACTAGAAATTAAAAAGTATAAAATTGGTTACGTTTACTTGCTTAAGATATACCCACCAAATTCAGAATGTGTCAGTTTGACCATGAAAGGTGCGTGTAGCTTGTGCTAACAACTGTTAATTTTAACATTTCAGATATCTGAAAGTGGTAGCATAAAGCAAAACTTCTACAGTAACTTTACTTACATAAAAAGTAAATCTAAAAAGGCTACAAACAGACTCTAAATGTGAGATTTGAATTAGGCACCTGTGCTTTTTAGTGCACCATTTGAGAAGCTTTAAGACATTTGATTTTTAAGGAAGTAGTGAGAATAAAGCTTTTCAGAATGTCACAAGTTTAGTACACAAAATGCCAGGCACATACAATCACTTTTGCAAATTTTGACTGAGGATTTCAATGTCTACTGGTATGTGTTTACAACTGGTTCTGTTTCTTGAAGATTGGGAGAATAAAAGTCAGGCCCAGTCTCTTATTCATCAATAGTTGTTTCTTGGTTTCAATCTAAATACCCAATTGTTCTGTCCCAGTTATTCGAAATGTATTATAAAGAGTTCAATCTTTTTTTTCCCCCCAATTGTTGATGTCTTAAATGACTGGACTGTATCAGATATAAATATTAATTTTAGGCTTTCTGAATAATGATTCTCCTTTTAGATTGTTTGTTGGAGGTCCTGAGAACAGAAGATCTACAAAAAGACAGTGAAGCTTTCCTGTATTGCATGGGAGCTATAAAATTCATGTCTGGAAATGCAGTACTCCTTAATGAAATGGCCGACAAAGGAGCTATTGAAATTTTGCTGCAATTAATGAAGCAGATTAATAATATAAAAGAAAATGACATGTATTTCTCCAACATGGGCCACATATTAGTCCAGGTTAGCATTTACTTTTATTTCTAAAAGTACACACTTCAATGGCAAATCAGAAATTTAATTAGAGGAGATAAGCGTGCCACTGGCAGAGTTGTATCTGTATTTGAATGGACTTCTTTTTAGGAAGTTTACATGAAGTTGTCCAGGACCTAAATTTAGTTATCATAGGTATTTTTTGTAGTCAATTTTAAAGGCTTTAGCAATTCAGAAGTTAAGAGAAATATTTTTAGGTACCTAATAAAACCAGTTTCTTCTTATTAGTTTATGGTGCTGACAATGTTCTGGATATTATAGTAAAGAGATAAAAATGTGTTCCCTGTTTTAATTCTTTAAACTGAAATAATAAATTCAAACTGGTTCTGCAATACTCTAGGAGATTACAGAAAACTTTTTAATAATAATGTATTTTTAATAATGCATAGAGAAATATAGCTATGTTTCTTTGACAAAGTGTTTTTGAAGAACTGTAATTTAAGGAAAAGATAGTTGTAAAAGCCAGCACTTTTTGATGCTTTTTGAAGGCAGCAGGCTCAGAATTATCTCTTCACATATGAGGTACGTTGATGAGTGGTGGCTATGAAAACTAAACCTTTGTCCTGAAACTGTTTAAACACTAGTGTTTTAGGAGAAAAAAAAAAGTTTATGTAGATACATCTCAAGTTATGCATAGGTTGATTGGGTTTTGTGTTTGCCAAGGATTTGCCAGGTAGATTCCTGACACTTGTCTTTGAAATAGTTGATGTAAAGATTATGAATGGTGTAATTGTAACCTTTTAGGGACTTCATAGGAAATGGAATTGGACAGTTTTCTGAGGTAGAGTTTACACTAAATTTCTCTAAGAACTGTGCCAGATTTCTTTAATTCTCTACTAAGTTACAGACAAGAGATTTTATACTACTGGAAATTGTATGAGAAAACAGGTAGCTAACATCATCATGTTACTATTGCTGATTTTTGTCTGTTTATTTTAGTGGAGCTATGAGGTATGTCTCCAGAATAGTGTATACAATCTTAATACAAATGTAAACAGATTGGGAGACACTATGAAGCACTGAATGAAATGATGTGGCTTAATTCTTACATTTAGATAAGGAAGTTCCAAAGTGGCAAATTGTTAAAGACTGGGAGAACGTCTGATGAAACTGGAAATTTTGAACTTGTTGTGTTCCTATTTTCTTTCTTCTCTGGTCCTGTCATCGTTAAGTTCCTATATGAATCACAAAATTCTCTTTTATACGTTTCTGACTTTAGAATTGTGAGTGTTAACTTTCTTGTGACACTGTGAATTCTGTGAACAATTCTGAAATCATCTGTGCCATTTTTTATATTCTATACAGAATTGTATATGGGATTTCCCAGCCTTATTTTTCAAGAGAAGGTGTACAAACTTCAAGTCTGCACGTAATCAAGATTTTAAGGTCCATATTTTTCTTACATGCTGCTAGTTAGACTTTGTGAGTCCCAATACTACTGCAGTGTGGCTTTAGGCTATCAGTTTAGTTAGAACCCCACTTTTGAAAAGTTTTGAGGAGGGATTGTGGGTCCAGAATAAGTTCTGTTCTCAGTGTAATCTGGAAGGTGGTAGACAGTGACTTAAAACAGATAAACTATAAGAAAAGTAAGTTTAGCTGAAGAAGTAGAGTATGATGCCTCACATACAGAAGCTGTGCAGTCAATTGGGTGAGTGGAAATTTAGGTTGTAGTTTTGTGTAAGCATTTTAAAACCTAAACTAGAGATATGTATCCTGGATCTCTTTTCATGTCTTTGTAGTTTAAAAATATTTATCCTTCTGAGAGCAAGAAGGCCATGGTTAAAAGCAAAGCATATTACTTGCTGACGTTTGGTGGCTGCTGTTGCCGTTAATCATATAATACATATAATGGGAATCCTGTTGAGAAGAAGGGGATGAAAATTAATGTTAAATAGATATAAAAAGAAGTTTTTGCGAGCTGGGGCATTTAAAGATAAGAAGCGATGTCCAAGTAATAAAACTAATGAATCAGATTATTTTCAGCTGTTTGACTGGCTGTCTGAACTTCCCCGCGACTTTGTAGAAATGGCTTTTCTTCCATTATTTCTATTTGGATAGATTTCATTTTTTAAATCAAGGGTTTAATTTGCAAATATGTGAAAGAAAAATGTTACATTTTACACTTTTTTTTGGGTCATTATTATCTCTGCTGCTTTCAGTCTGATTAGAAACATCTCAGTTAACTGGACCGACTCTGGATTCTTCGACTGTATAATTGCACAATCACCAGATGGCAGTGTTACACACAATCCTGCCAGGTCCTTTTTGTGGGACTGAAGTCCCTCTCTGATTTCTTTCTTGTTGCACAATGAGTTTTATGCAGAAGTTGCACAATACAAGAATCAAAATGTTTGTAATAATTATTTTTTCCTTAATAGAGGACACAAAACCAAGGTAATCTTTTACTCATTTTATGTTGCTTCACCTAATAGTCTGATCATATTTATAAGAAATATGGTAATGCTTACTCAAAAGCCAAGGCTTTTGAAGTGTCACTGACAAGACTTAACAAGTACTTCATGTTCCTTAATTGAAAAGCACTTAAATGTCTTCTCCTTTAAAAATAGCATTTGTCTGCTGTTAAATTTTCTGTTTGGGTGAATTTCATCTTTCACGTGGTAACATAAGGATTCGGGCTGATGGGGATTGCTAGAGCTAATTGTTATGCATTTCTCTCTGAATCATGGTGCCTTCTTGAAGCAATCAGAACATCTCTTGAATTCATCTGCTGTCTGGCTAGCTTACATTATTTCTTTAATTTGTACTCTTCAAATTTCACTTGCGTACTAACTATTCTTTTGTGGATATATACTTCTATGAACTTCTGAATTTCATTGTCGTGCACATTTAAGTGTATATGTTGCATTGCTTTTCCTTTCCAACCTGTCTTTGAGTGAGGATGCCTCTTGATGGAATTTACTGCTGGTGGTTTTTGAACTGTCGTCTAAGTGTCTCAGGCAGTGAAAAATTTTACTCTGTTTTTGGAGACCTCTGCACCATTATCTATTCATGAAGATTTTTTTTTTCATTTAAGGTCCCTTTCAACCCAAACCATTCTATGATTCAAACTTTTTAATTTTTTAATCAAAATAAATTTGATTGTGTTTTAAAAACAATTCATCTTAGTTTACAACTTGTAGTTATTACCAAAGTATATGTCATATACCAGTACTAATTTGCAAGACTTAAATTTGCAAAATGAAACATTATGCATAAAATCACTTTATCCACAGCATTTCACCTAATTTACAATTGGTATATGGTTGTATACATCTATACAAGATTTAAAAACATACGAAAGATCATATTTCCCTCAAAGGAGGAGATTACAGGCAGGCAAAGACCAGTATCAATCTTTCATTGTCAAGCAATTATTTCAAAATACACAATTTTGTTATTTAGAAATTTCCTGTTATAGTTTGTTGATAGATACATACCTGCAGAATGTTAACAGGGCATTCAGACTGCCATAGACGTTATAAATGAGATCTGAGCTTTATTAACTTTTCAAAACAGTGTGGATTCTGTTGTAAAAAGCTGTGATTAATAGATCTTTAAATATTCTATATGCAGCTGACAGCTACTTTGCGAAACCTGGCTGACTTACTGCCTCCAGCAAGACACCAGCTGGTTTGCAATGGTGCAGCCTCTGAGCTCTGTGTGGCGCTAGAGCAGCACGTGAATGATAAGGATGTGTGCACCTATATTGTCAGGATATTCAGGTACCTACAGAAAACAATGTTATTTCTGCGTGCGCTCACATCAGCGTTACTGCTTCAAGTGACCTCAAAGATGGTAGGATCAAGCACTAAAATTGGAAGATTTACATTGAATTGTTTGGTTTTTTTTTAAGCTCTGTGTAGTTTTTTGATTTTGTATGATAAGTGTGTCTTTATTAATACTGATAGAATTGTTAATTGTAGCTATACATGGATTGATTGTCCCCGTGAAAAATGTTTTGTTGCATTGTCATTCTTTGATCCCACAGATTCTGATTGAGATTTTTAAAGTACCATTTCTTATATTTTAATGCTGCATAAATTATTAACTATTTATCACTCCTATTTTAGGCCATGTTTTTAAAAAAAAATGATGAGAGAAATTACACAAGCTTAAGTTATATTGGGGACTGTGTATTGTGAAATAAAATACAGGAAAGAAAAAATGTGATCAGTGTTCATTGTTTTGAGCTGTCACAGAGTGAGGAGATTAATCTGTGGGATCAGGGCTTGAGTGTGCAGATGGAAGGCTGAAAGAAGCTTGGTTTTATGAGCAGCTCAGTGGCTGCTTCCCAAGATGTGCTTTTTAGAGGGAGATCAGTATGAGTGAATCACCCAAAAAGGTCCTATTGTAGTCTGAGTAGTTTCTCAGTCAAAAATCTTCCACTTACCGAGCACTAGCTTGCAATATCCAATGCTAAAAGGAGTTGCAAACAGGTTAAGGATTTTGAACAAGTTGTGAAATTAACTGTTGGTAATTTCAGGAGTTGGGTTATAAAGCACAATTTGTGAATGCTGTTCTGGATGAAGTACTTGCCATCGCTGCTTTGTATTGTATTTGTATTTATTTGTATGTATTTATTTGTATTGTATTTGTATTGAGTCATGTTGCCTGTGGCTCCATGCTCATTGAGAAGTCATTCTGCTGTGGACTTCTCTTCACCCCCTCCAAATTATCCATCACATTCTCCTTGCTAGATGAGATTGAGGTGTGCTTTGAAGAGCAGCTACAAAAGGGGCCGTCATTCCTTCCTCTCCGCAGCTAAAACCAGGCAAATCCAGTCCTTTGCTGTTTGTGCTACCTGTAAAGCATGTGAATTGCTTTCTCAATTCCATGCCACCTTATCCATGTCTGTCCCTCTAATTTTGTTCCTAAAAATGAGTTGAGTTCTAGCAATGATTACAGCACTTTGAGCATATTTACTTCTTCTAAGGAGAGAGCATTTCTTTTACTTGGAAAATGCCATGAAAAGAGGGGTAATGGGTTTGTAATTAAATGTAATTGATACTTACACTGTAATTCTGACAAGGACACTCACTTGATCTAGAATTCAGTATGGAGCAAAAGTAATTTGTCTTATTTAAAGTTTCCTATTGCTTCAATTTTTTTTTCTTAAGTTTAGTGAACTGTGTGCTTCGAGGATACAAATTAGCCATAAAATCAATTTAATTACCTTCCTGGAAATTAGAGTCACAAAAAAGGAAGAAAAGTTATACTATGCAGTACAGAGCGCAGATATGAATTTTGTTTGGTCTTCTAGTAGAACAGAATGATTACTCTTTTCTCTCAGTCAGTAACTTTAGGCAGCTTCTTTGTAGAGAACGTGTTCGATCTATTCAGATTATTCATTTCTCCATGTCCGTAAATCTTGCTGTGGTTGGTTGTAATTGAACATCAACACAGATATTTGCTGGTTCTGACTACATGAGAAGTAAGAGGTTATTCTAGTTTGTTCTGCTATTGCAGTATTTCTGGTATGACCAAAGCACGCCCAATTCTCCATTGACTTTGTAATGGTCAAGGTGAGCAGTGTAGGACAGGCGCAGCTGTTCGGGAATACACAGAGATAAAATGGTGACTACAAGAAGGTGTGTTCTGTGTGTTTGCTGGCGAGAGATGTGTTCTTTAGTGCTGTCACTGGGCTCTACTAGACGTGCATGAGGAAGAGACCCTTTATTTTCTCTCCTGTCTTACTTCCCATAGCATCTTGAGGGTACAGTTCTTCCATTTGACATTAAGAACTGCTAGTGTTAGTGTACTGTGCCGCTATGACAAGCAGGTCGGGAAGCTCCTATGTTCGCTTCTTCCCGCAATTCACTGTGGCAAGGACAGCTAGATTGTTGTGCTCTTATGTAACTGTGCATGCCTCTGCTAGAAGCCAGAGTATTGGCATTCATTTCATTTGTTGGAAAATACAGGTCTGAGAGCCAAAAGCAGAGTGATTTTTAAAAAAAATCTTTTGTGGAAAAAAGTGTTCTCATTCATTTATATTTTATTTTTGTACCTTTGTAGCAAACTTTCTTCCTACAATGACTTCTGTGCAGCTTTAGCAGACTGCTCCAGATGTTACATCTTATTTTTAGCCCTACTGAACAAACACCAGAAGCAGCAGGTCAGTTTTTCATCTCTTGATTTTTATATATTAATCCTCTGATGTGTCTGTGTATTATTGTGTATAAGCTTGTTTTCAGTGACCTACTTTTATGCATTTACCGAATAAAAATTCTAAATGGTTGACAGCATTTGTTAGTAATAAATAATTGAAATGAAATAATTTAGATTAATACAGAGGACAGTTGATTAACTTGTCTGTCCTTTGCATGTGTAGAAATAGTCCTTTGAGTACTTAATTGTTTTTTTCTTAGTTTTAAAACATACTTTTAAAAGCAAATAGTTTATTTGAATATTTAATAGTAGGGAATTGTTGGGATTTCTCCTGCCCTCCTCACCTGCGATAGAAGTGTGAATTTTCCAGAACTGAGCAATTTGAAAGCAGGGGAAAATTTCTTCCTTGATAACTGCATAAGATATCAGAATATATCTCTCCTCTACCAGAGAAAACCATATGCCTAGAATACCACATTTAGAATGTTCACCTAGATATAAGTGTTAAGACTGTGTCAAAATGCCATGTATTATGAGGTGAAATTATAGAACTATACTTGCTGTCAAATTCATTAGAACATCAAGAGTCAGGTGTTGCTATATTGTCCTGCCATATCATAGTGATCTTCCCTACATTTACTGGACCACCAGGCTCTGGGAGTTTGGTGGAGGATCACAGCTTTCAAGATTTGCCGTGCAGTGCCCCATGTAAGGCAAATTACTTGGCTCTATTGCCAGGTAAGGTTTAAGAAGAAAATAGTTTTTCTGTAAAACATAGATGTTCAAAGGTGGAACAAAGTTTGGAAACATAGAACATGAATTCACATTAAGATTATTCTTAAAAGTAAAGAACTTTCTTGGCTGCTTCATCATCTCAACTAGTTTGAGGACATTTAGTTATCATATACAATTTATCACAGGGTTAGTAATTCCTGGAGAGTTGTTGGATGGAGGTCTTTTGTGATGCTGTTGTTAAAGGCAGTTAATGAAGGTAGCCAGGTCAGCTATGCTGAACAATCTATTCTTTCTCTTGCCAAATACAAAAATAATTTATCCCTTTCCTTTACCTGCCTCCCTGTTTTCTGTGATAATACACATAGAAGAGGAACAAATATGAAGTTGTTGCTATTCTTATAAATGTCTGTTGATTAGTATTTCTGCAGCATATCTGAGTATTTCTAGGTTCAGGCTGCTCTTGCATTGTATGGTCTTCAAAGACACTTTAGTAAAATGCTATGTAAACACTATGTAAATAATATGAGAAATATCAAAGGCATGATATTTTACTAGATTTATAGTTATTTTTCCTTGCAAGCACTGTATTAAGAGCTCAGCAAATAATGGGACTGGGAATAAGGAGCTTGAATTGAGTAATATCTTCCTCTCAATCTTCATCTGTAATTTTAAGGGGAACTTTTCTAGGCTGCTGAGATAATAGCTTTGTATCATAATGAATTGTAGGCTCATATATAAATTTGAGTTGTGTGTTGTCAGGTAGTGTTCAGAATTTAGCTTCTCATTTGCCTACTTTATTAAGTGGTCCTAAAATGTATCTTTCTTCACTAGATTAGCATTGCTTTTTGTGTTAAACTGACAGTTGTTTTATCAAAATACAAATTAGTAAAGAAATAGCTTGTGTATTAAAAAACCTTAGTTATTATGTTTTGATGATTACATATGCAGTGTCTTCAGAATAATTATTTCTTACTGCAGTTTTTAAACAAGCATGCAACTGTCAGTTGTCAGCTTAGTGAAGCCCTGCAGAAGCAAGAAGAAGGACATGGATAATGTAATGCACCACTTTTTCTGTAGTGTATAATAAACACTTGAGCTGTGAGGAGTGCAAATGTTTCTCCTGAGGTGTAATTGGCACTGCTAATCTTTCTTTTTAAATGCTAGTGAGTTATAAAGTGAGTTGGTAATGTGTTGAAAAGAAAACAAGTAAGAGCAGTGAATAAAATTGTCTGCTGTGTGAAGAAGAAGCAAGGAGGAGGATAAATCAGTATTATTAACTCAAAACATTATAAATCCACAAGACTAAGAACTGATATGTTAAGAAAGGAAGTGTGTGTTTTCTGAATTTTCAGGTTGCAGTGTTTGTGGGATCAGGTTTTCTTACTGGCAATCATGGCAGCTAGAAACATACTGGGGAAAAAATAAAAGAAAACCAGCATTCAGACTTCCTCAAGTGTTTTCATAGCTGTGACTTGAAAAATAAGCATTAAATATTGTGAAAATAAAAATGTGAGCACTGGAAATAGGATTAATGACTTGCTCCCACACCACACACTGAATTCCACAGCTGCCACCCAAAATGGGAGAGTAGTAATTTAACCCTATGAGAAAGAATTTTGGGGAAATTGAGTTGGCACGATTTGCCAAATTCCATGTGTCATAGTCTTAGTTAAGGAGAGGAGTACAGAAGTACAGAAGATTGGAAAAGCTGGCTCTGCAAGGTAGGACTGGGGAATTCAGCAGTGCTTTTCTATGCGTCTGAAGTACACGTTCTGTTGGACTTTGCTTGTGGTTGATTTTGGAGCTTACTTGTGTGGAGCAACAAAAAGAGTCCTTGGTGGCTGCCAGATAATATGAAAGCTGTCAGAAGTGTTCTTGTAGAGCCTCTATCTTGCGGGATGAGCTTTGCGTGCTTCTGTTTCTAGTCAGCATTGCAGTCTTTTGCCCGTCTCCAGAAATCTTTCAACAAGATGCTGTTCCCCTCTCCCAGACCATTATAATCTCTCAGCTTTTCAGATAAGCTATATCCTTTCTCAGGCTGCGGTTAATGTCACAAGTCATGAGGAGGCCATGCTTTTGGAACAGGGAGGTTGCCTAAATAGGGCAGTAGCTTCTGTCAGTATGTCAGGTGCTACCTGAGCATACATGGCCTTTTGGGGTCCTGTCAGCTTCTGTGTAATCTTTAATCAGTGTACAGTTAGGAGTCTGTTCTCAGCCTTAACTGCACGTTTGTGCAGGTGTGATAGGTGCTACCTGAGCATACATGGCCTTTTGGGGTCCTGTCAGCTTCTGTGTAATCTTTAATCAGTGTACAGTTAGGAGTCTGTTCTCAGCCTTAACTGCACAAACACAGGGTGTGATACTAAAATTTGCACAGAAGAAATCTTGTGCCTGTTGTATAGAAAAGTCCCTTTATACTTTAGAGTAGCCTACTTTTCCAGTTAGGAAATATCTGTTAAAATATCTGACATCACTGGATGCAGCAATTGCCTATTCAGCAAAGGAATAATCACACTGGGTCACCTGAAAGGTTCATCCAACCTGCTATCCATACTCAGCAGTGGTGAGAATCAGATGCCTAGAGAACAGTAAAAACAGAGCAAGCATATACAATACTTCTAGTGTATAATTACCAAACCTCCAGCTCTTTCCAGTTTGGAAACTTCCTCAGCCAGCTGCGGTTCTCTGTTTATTATTGGACTTCTTTTCCATGAAATTCTACAGCCTCTCCTCTATACCATGTAAACTTCTAACATCTTAAACATCCATTGACAAGGAGTTGCCATAGCAACTACCCATTGCACAAATAATTCCTTTTGCTTGTTTTGAATTTGACCTTTACTATCTTTATTTGATTCCCTCTGATTCTTACACAGGAAATTTGGTGAATATTTAGTCATTCATTTCACACCACTCCTGACTTTCTAGACCTTTATCATATTCTCTTCGAGTTATCTCTTTACCAGGCTGAAGAGTTTACTTGGTCCTTTCTGTTATGGAGGCTATTCCATACCATTGTGCATCCATGTTGCTTTTCTCTGAATTTTTTACAGTCCTGTGTTCTGTATCTTTTTTTGAGATGAGGAAACCAGAACATGGCAGTTAAGCTGTGGCCGTATCATAGATTTGCGTGCCTGCACAAGTTTATTTCCCATGAATTGCCCAAATTTTGTTTGCTTTCTTGACTTCCTGTAAGCATTAAGCTCCCGTGAGGAATCTGTCATTAACCCCAAGTGTTTATGGTTGTTTCAAAGGTTGTGATTTTCAGTGTGAAGGTGTGACTGTTCTGTGTTTTTCCACATGCATCATTTCGTGTTTATCTGCATTCAGATTTCATCTGCTATTTTATTATCAATTGACTACAAATCCTTTTTCTGCTCTTCAGTCAGCCTTCATCTTTGCTACTCTGAATATCTTCGTGTCATCAGCAAATTCTTCCATATCACTACTGTCATCCACTTTACCATGTTGTTTATGGACAAGTTGAACACAACAGGTCTCAGCACAGAACCCTGGGGAACTCCACTGGCCATCTTCCACCATTGCAGGAACTGCTGATTTACTCTGTTTTCCATCCTCTGATCATTTGTTATGGACAAGTTGAACACAACAGGTCTCAGCACAGAACCCTGGGGAACTCCACTGGCCATCTTCCACCATTGCAGGAACTGCTGATTTACTGTTTTCCATCCTCTCATCATTTGTGTATACCATGACATTCTCCCTTACAGCATGACTTCTTAGATTCACTAGGATTTTGGTGAGTGACTTTGTCAGAAATCTCCTGGAAAGCCACATGGGTGATATCAGATGAGTCTCCTGTACTCATGTTTGTTGATCTCTTCAAAGAACTCAAAAACTGGGTAAGTCAGGACTCAGGAGTCTTAAAACTGATTGCATTTATCAGACTGTCCACTCATTTTATTGTGTTTTTTTTAATGGTTTCTTCTAATTTTTCTGGTACAGACACGAGGCTTGAATTTCACTTGGATCCTCTTCTAGTAAGAGATTTCATGGCTTTTGCCCTTCTAGTCCTTCTGCATCAAGGCTGTTTTGCACATTGCTGTTAGTAATTAAGCTATTTATTTAAATCTTTTAGAATTGTTGGGTGATTATCCAGTCCTGGTGATTTGTAGCTGTTTGTTTTGGCAGTTTGTTCCTTAAAATTGTTTGTGATCACTACAGTTTTGGACAGATCCTCTGATGACTCTTCCCTGGAGTGTAGCACTGAGATCTCCCCAGTTGCTTTCACAGTGGGCATGAATCAGTGCG